TAGGGAAGCTCCATGTTTATCAAGGGCGAACATTTTTTAAAGGAATTGTAATTGAAACCTTTAAGAAAAACAAATAACTGAGTGACAGAAGAAAAGTAAGTTTAGTATATGTCTTTGCCTCTGCAGTGAACAGCATTTACCTGCTCATAGTAATATAAACTCTGACTGTGATGTAAATATGGTGGGATGATATTTAGAAGAAGGTGATGAGAGAGGAGAGGTGGTTAGAGAGCTTAATCTCTACTTTTTAGAATAGAAATTCAGTTGATAACTTTTAAAATAGATAAGAGACAGAGGTTTGGGGAAAGTATTTTGCCACACAGGACCAACTCCTGGAAGAAAGTGCTCAAGTCTCATCTCTACCAAATGGAAGGCCTTAAGGGGCAGTTTGATCCAAAGCCAAGGGCTGACCTCTCCTGTGCGCCCGCTGCTCCCCTCAGCAGTGTATTTTAGTGGATCTGCCTCTGGTGAATCCTCTCATCACCCACACCTCTGCCTTATGCCCCATTTCTTTTATGCAAGAATAACTAAAAATCTTACAATAAAGGAATAATTATTTTTCCTTAAAAAAAAAAAGTAGCATGAAATTGTTGTTCAGAATAAACCTCTGGAGCCTCCCAGGTGGCTTAGGGGTTAAGTCTCAGTCAGGGAGCTAGCCCAAATGGTGCAGCAGACCCTGCTGCTTCCCTCAGCTATGTATTTCAGTCAATCCACCTGTTCTGCTCCCCACTCTGTCTTTGGTGAATCTCGCCCCCAACTTCCCTCTATACCTCTGATCTGTACACCAGATCTTTTATGCAAAAGAAAAAAAAAAAAAGGAAAAACCCTGTAAGTCAAAAATTTTTTTTAGAAGTTGAGATTTTGGTCCTTTTTGCTATTTTCTAAATCATATTTATTATTTGTGTTTTTAAAAAATTATGCACTTTACAGAAAGAACAGGACAACTTGTTCTTCTCTCATGAAATAAAAAGCATCCCCATGCACACTCAGGCTGGGGCTTGCAGTGAATGCCAGGCATGCAAGTGTGGCAGGATACTTAGTGAAACAGGAGTTTTTTTCGTTCTGTGTTTTTCTTTTTAGAAGTGCTTTAAGAAACTTGAGAGCAGAGGCATCCTGATGTCAAAGTCCCCTTTGTCTTGTGAAAAAGTGTAAAGTAAACTTGAGAAGAGGTTAGTTATGTCCTGGAGGCACAGGGAGAGGAAGGGTTTTGAGGAGAATTTAAAAAATAATAATATAATAGTTTTATTTTTACATAAATTTGTGCCTTTTTCCATCTCAGTTGTAATCCCCATGGGCTTCCCATCACCAAATAACCCGTGTGCCATGACCATAGTCAAGTGGACTTCCCTTTCCCCTACAATTTTTGATCTTGAGGAGAATTTTTTAAGGCCATGTAAGAGGTTGTTGTATGGGTTCCCCTCTGCTCCCCACCTTGGTTGTGACTAGGGAAGTGACAGGACCTAAGCAATTAGCTCTGGGGGTTGTGTGTCTGGGTCCCAGCCCGAGGCTCTCATACCTGAATTTCCACATCTCAGATGTGGAGCTGAGCCCAAAGTGAGAGTCCTGCACTGGCAGAGTCACACCTGCTGGGACTCAGGACTGGCAGCATTTGCTAATGAAACTGATGTACAGTGGTAGGATGGTGTGGGG